AACTTACAGACTTGTTACTGTATATTTATTTTGATGTGTCCCAAGATTAACATCTATATTTTAGTTTTGATTTTTCTAGTAGCTCCTAATCTATATTTGAACTTTGACCTTGTCCAATTCAATACTTGGTAATCTGTAACTTAAAAAAAAATCTCAATACTTGGTAGTTTTTATACTTAAAAATGTTCCAATTTAAAGACTTATTAGTCTATAAATTTCCAATTCAGAGACTTCAGTCTATATTTCAATTTGATTCTCCAACTAAAAGTTTATTAATTAGTCTACATTCAACTTCCAAATTCAGAAACTTCAGTCTATATATAAATTTTATTCTCCAATTTTAAGACTTGATAGCCCATATTTAGAATTGACTTCAGTCCAATGTCGGACTTCAAAGCCTGTAACTGAAAATTTTGCATAGAAGCATGTGTGTGTGTGTTGTGCGCGTGCCCATCAAACTTAAGGGTATGAAAAAGATCAATATATCCTACAAGATTATTTCAGATTTAACGAATGAGACAGAATGAGAGTAATACAGTAATTCTTAGCAAGGTTGAAATAGGTTGTCAGAATGCATGTGTACCTGCTTTTTCAGATTCCAGTTCACCAGCAGACATAATGACTGGCTCAACTCCCATTGCCCGAAATATTAGCTCAGTCTGAAATGTTTTACCTTGACCTTTTCCTCCCCAGATACCTACAAGAACGAAAGTCTTTCATTGTCTGTAAATTAAAACGAAGTACTTCTTTCTGCACTGAACTAATACTGTTTGCAAATACTATTTACCCATAATAAATGAACTTTCTTGATACAAATGAACCTTATACATTCTGAAGGTCAAATAATCATTCTGATGGTAAGACTTTATAAACATGTAAAGTACATGGTTAAAATAGAACTTCATAAAGAGTAGACCTGCTATCTATTTCCAGCATTAAACTTCAGAAAGCATAAATGAAACAAGTATTTTCTTTTTGCAGTGAACTAATCACTATTTGCAAATGAAAAGATCAACAGGGAGTCAAATACTATTTACACAAAAAAAAGAACTTTATCAATACAAATGAGCCTTCAATATTAGGAAAATAAAACAACCATTTAGATAATAGACTTTATAGACAAAAATGAGAAAGAAATTTGTGTGTCAAGATAGAAGTGATACTATTTTCCAAAACAATGTAATGAAAAGAAAATTTACCCAAGATTAAAGGAACTTTGACGTTCAAAGAATGACTAATGTAGTTCTTCACCATGTGGCATGCTGTGAAAGAAATCAAAGGAAGCACATTAATTGGAAGATTCAGAACATAACTATTGAGAGGTTGCACTGTGATCAAGACAGCTATTGCAAATTATTTTTTCAATTACTTTTAATCAAATGACTGGAACATACAGAACAAGAATACAGACATGCTAAAATTTTGAAATGTTACCATTTGAAGTTATAGATATCCAAATATTTCAAAAAAGAGTTCACAAAAAAAAAACTGAGAATATCTACATTACTCTACTCATTCAGTGAGATAACAATTTTTCCAGAAGTACAAGAAAATTTAGATACTAGAATCTGCTCCCCTTGGCTCCACAGTGTACACTAGAGCTCCCTTTAACTTCCAACAGCTCCAAAATTATGATTTTTCGCTTTCTTCTAGACGCGTCCAAGAGAATTTGGAGGCTTAATCCATATCAACAATTTTTTTGCCCGATAACTGGAATTATAGGATTTATAGCAAGTCCCTCCCAACGAATTTGCACCAACTAACCTTAGTAATTACTAAATAATTAAAAGGGTTGAAAATTATTTCCAGGCATAAAGGAAATTCATGCAGCAACAGTTTACCCTTCAGTTTTGCAAGGGTTTTTTATCTTCTTTGGATAACGTAGAAGATCTCTTTCTTATGACCAGATACCAATCTTTCTTTCATGGGAACCATTGCTTTTTGAGTTACATAGTTTATTAAGAAAAGATATTTAGAAGACTTCGTACCTGTGAGAAAGTAAAGAAAGAAATAATAATAACATACCACTAAAAATATTGATGTAGCTTCAACATTTATGTTTCTCTATGTCACTGAAACAAATAATGAAGGTATAGTAATATTATGGAAAAATGTACTTGTACTGTCAAGATTCATGTGTATCGTGCTATTGAAAAATACAACAAACTAAAAGAGTAAAGAAACTTAGAGCAGAGCATCATCAAATGAAAAGCAACTAAAAAATATTTCCAAGAAACAATAAAATTTTGGACAAGGTAACAAATTTCCTTTTTCGATCATAAATTCCTAATTCCACAAGAAACGTGACAAAGTAGACATAGGAATAGAAACATGTAAGGAGTTTGGATCATCTTAGAGAATACGAGGTTGATTCTTTCTCCATGTCAGAAATATGTCGCTGCACCAAATTGTCGGCAGTTGTAAACTTCTATCAATGTTTCTGAGAGCTTACCGATTTTATCCTGTAGAATACAACAATATACTACGTCAAAAGTTGATTTGTCAACTATCAAAAGGCACGCACATAGGAAATTTCAACAAAGAAGACATCATTGTAACTCACGAACTAAACAAACAAGCAAAAATCCTCAGCACATTTAAAGGAAAACGCATCAAAACACAATCAGGGTTCCTGAGAATCTCCTAATGCTGTAGTTTAGCCTCATAGTAAACCCAGGAGGAAACAGCGCTAATACATGACTAAGAACAAGATAAATGAACTATTAAACAAGCTCTATTTCAAATTTAATCATGTATCCATGATTGAATGGTTTATGTTTATTGAATCTATTTTCTCTTGAAGCCATCCGGATTATTTCGAGTTCCGTATCTGACTCAAAACCATTTTCGCATAACTAAAACAGAAGAGCAAAACAGAACATATTTCCACATTTGAATCGAGCGATACTTTTCGCAACAAGTTGCAGCAAAATGATACTCATTATCCTAATTCGAGTGACTATCAACTTCAAGTTTTGCTACGAGATTCGTAAAAAATTACTTTAAAAAAAAACTAATCAGAAGAGGAGAAAAAGGAATCAAGAGCAAACCAAGAAAACGGGAGCGATGTAGTAATCCCCTTGAATATACTCAAACGACCTCGTCGCCTTCTGCCTGTAATCAAACACAATATCCGCTGCCAAAACAAACAAAAGACTGTTGAAAGCAGATCAAGTCGCCAAGAATTAATGGAGAGAAAAACGGGTTTTTGTTCGATTTTACAGTCTTTTCCGAGGAAATTGCCGACGAAGAGGTCGTCGACGACGCCCTTCCTGGCGCCGACGGCGATGTTCATGTTTTCGGACTCCTGGCCGAGGCGATAGAGGTAGTCCTTCCCCTGAGAATCTTTGGATTCCCATGACGACTGATCCGATAGCTTCTTTTTGTTTGGGGGCCTGGGATCGTCGGGGGTTTGAGGAGAAGGGGAGCAGCAGCTGATGGGAGAACGACAAGGCCGAGCTTGCCTCTTGTTCGTGCAACGGTTGTTGAAATTAATTATGCCGGAAGCCGCCATTTTTTTTCTCTTTCTTTTCCGTTATTTTTCACCACGTTGAGCCCTTTTCTGGGACGGAGGAAGCGGATATCGGGCTGAGCGCCTGGTTTTTTGTGGGTGCTGGCTCTTCACTGGGTCCCAGCCTCTTATCCAAAAACTGACGGTTATATCTATATAACCTTTCAGCATACATTTTTTTCTTCTTATTAATAAGAAAATGTTTTCATTTATTTTCGTAGCTGGAGATTTGGAGTATATGTATATCATAGTTTTTGGTTTAACGTGTAAACAACTTACACAGAAACATTAGAAACTGAGAAATTCAAGCTCAAGCGGACAGAAAATAGACAAGCAAGAGATTGATACAAATAGATAAGAACAGGATCACGCCAGTTGAAAATCAGATAACGATCATACTTGGGAAAGATGGAAACTGGCACATGACACAAATGATACGAATGAGTTTTACGCGATGCGATCCGAACGATGCTAACATAACATGAGATAAAAGATCAAAATAGAACATATGTACTTTCTTGGACTATTTAATTTCAATTTTAACTAGCCACTGTTAAGTTACATCAATTACTACTCCATCTACATCTACCAGATGGATTGTGTTTAAAATCATCCCATGGTAAAAATCAGCCGCATATATCTGTGAACAAGCAGCGTTTCTTACACTTATGATAATCTACAGGCATGCATGCAAGGTATGCAATTCTGGGCATATTAGACCGCCTCGATCGGACATGGATGCTTATAAAGAATATATCGGCCACAAGAGAAACTGTCTACAGGAATCCGCATGCTTCACATGAAAGGGCAAAAAGCTTTCAGTTGATAAGAATTTGTATGTACTGCAGGCTTAGCGAGTATCAGACTGTAGGATTGCTTTTTCCAGATCAACATTTTGCGCCGTGACAACAGGAGGCAATTTCGGTAAAACCCATGAAGGTGTAGAAGAGCCAATCCATAGAGCCTCGCCGGTGTCCTTGTGCTTAAAGTCTGGATGTATAGGTTTTATCTGAATGCAAACGGAATAGAGTTGAATTTTAATAAAAGGACAGGATATAGACAGAAAAGGATAAGAGCAACTCAAGTTCATGGAGTTACCTTGTTCGATCGCTTGTCCCACCATTTGTTTGGATTCTCCACGAGGTCTCTCCAGAGATTCTCTATTTTCATACAGCATTAAGATGACAATAAGAAAGAACCTCCAACAAGGTATTAAAGTCAAAACAATTCTTCCTCTGTTTTCATAAAGCATCAAATTCTATGCAGCCAGAGTTCAATCAAAAATAATTGACTAGGAGATAACAGCAAAAGGATCAAATGAAGGTTCAGATTTACCCTTTTCGCTTTTTGTTGTACTGTTGCTGCTACCAAATACTAGACCATTAAGTTTCAATAACACCCAATCTGGTGCAGTGTCAAGCCATAATCCTTTCTTTGTATCCTTCTGTTTAAAATCTGGGTACTTCCCATTTACCTGCATTCATCAACTGAAAAAACTAAGAGAGGAAAAGAACAGAGGGGGAAAGACTCTCATGCGATGAAAGTAGTGAAAATGAAGAGCTTCACGTGAAGATGCACAAAAAAGAAATGCGAGATGATCACCAATCCTTTTAGCTTATCCCCACGGTTATCCCACCATTGTTGTGGATTATCTACAAGGTCATTCCATAAGCTCTTAGCATTATTGTTCCGTTCGTTATTAGTGCCACCTGAATTGAGACATAATAATGAAGCATAAAAAATTTATGCTGATTGCATGACAGTAAGCATGAACTAATTAGTTCTTACTTGAAGGTGTTTGTCCAAGCATATCCAATTTAGAGAGAACCCATTCTGGGGTAGAATCATTTATCCAAAGCTGTTGGCCGCTTTTCTTATGTTTAAATGCTGCACGTGCTCGATTACTCTAAAAAAACATTTACAATTCAAACCAAAATTTAAAAATGAATACAGATAAAAATAATAAGCAAATAAACAAGTGGGAAAAGGATAACAGACTCGCAGACCTTGCTTGATCTGTTATCCCACCACTCCTCAGGGTGATCAAAAAGGTCGCGCCACAAGTGCAGATTTGACGGAGTTTCCTCTACCTCACAAAGCGCTGAATTAATTAGTCAGAATGTATTTATCGCAGTAAGCTGAGAAAGTAGCTATTAGGATGTAGGGGGTAGGGAAGTGTAAAGCACAGAATCATACTGTTCAGTTGAATCAGAATGAAGATTTGCATAGAGAAATCATACGACTAATCATCCTATATGTAAGACATGTGGTGGTGATGATGACAATGTGAAACACAAGGTAGGAAGAAACAATGCCATGAATAAGAGCAATTAAGAGAATCATCTCATGAAGAATAGATCATCAAACTATGATCAATACCAAGGTAATGAGGAAAGTACCATAAATGAAATAATTTAGAAACTATAATGAACATTGCTTCAAAAAAGAAAAGAAAGTCCAGTGAACAGATTCAGAGGGATTTGCACAGATCCAAATATATGCCAACTGGTTTTCTACAGCAGTAAAAAAATATGCTACACTACAAGCATGACATATCAAATTAAACTGGAAATCAAACTAAACTGTATCAGTATCAGACACTAAAACATTATGTCATAACATGAGTATAAATTTGTACACAAGACTACAGCCATGATTGTTAACAAGAGGAAAATGAACTGGAAGACTCGAGATATAAAACTTGACATTTACCTGAAATATCAGAAGCTATGTTATCTTGATCATACAGTGTGTCATTTTCTTTCCCTGGAGAAGTTTTTTGCACAAAACTTAGGCTATTGGCTACAACCTGCAGTATGTGCAACTTTAATAGACCATTCATAGTAAAATAATGTCTGACAAATTCAATAGAGAGGAAATGGGGAATAAAACAGATTATGGAGTGCAAATCCATAATAAGTGCTTGGGCAGGAGTTATCATAAAAAAGAAAATATAATGAAACTAGTGATGAAAAGATAAATGTAAGATTGTCAATTATGCTGTTATAATCTCAAAGAATACAACATTTATTTAAACCAAGAAACAAGAAATGACTTGAGAAATTAAGGATATCCAGTTTATGCTGAATATATTTTCAGCATGTGACAGTGTGCACCTGTCCTGGAAAAGGGAGGGTTACGCAGCTGACCAGAATGTGTCTGCTATTAGGTAGATATGTTATGTACAAGAAATACTAAATGTAGTAAGGAGATCACTGAGGAATGATGAAATTAAGAAGAAAAGGAAAATGCTATTTACAAGAGTTGTACTACTATTCACAAAGAAATGGGGTCTGTAACAATTCATAATTTCTCTTTCTAATTTACAAGAAAGGATCCTACTTTCTTGTGTCTAGTAGTACTAAGAGTAGTATACTCTTATGTACAGTTATCACTACTGATGAGAAAAATCATTATGAAAGTATAAAGATTCTTTCAAGAGGTAAAAGGCTCAAATCCCAGGCCTTGGAAACTAACAGAGGTTAATAAGGCAAAATCACCATGAACATTGCACAGGCACAAAATAGAGGGCAATAAAATTTCCTAGGATAATTATCCAAACATGAAAATTCTAGGTGAATATGCAGATAATGAAGCTTGACATAAACATAGAGGAGAAGCTTGATGGTTGCACCATGAGCAGCAATATAAAAAAAAGGTGAATATGTCAAGGCATATGTCATATAGATATATGCAACCTCAACTATATGACAAGCAATTATATGTAATAAAGGCTTCCAAAAGAGAATTTGCATGAAAGCACACGAGGATTGTGAGAAAGATATGAGAAGCTTGATCTTACATAAAATTCATTACTTACAGGGATGAACGTCAAAAGAATTCCAAAAATGATGATAGGGAATTGTATTGGATAAGGGCCATTAGGTCAATATTCATGACTGATATCACAGTATAAATGATGAACTGAAAGGATATCAAGCAGGAGTTATTCTAGGCCAAGATATAAATCAGATAAGCTTGAGGAATGAGTTGATACGAGACATTTTCACTATCAAACAATTTGAGAAGTTATTTTGGAATTTAATGCATTTAACAAACTGCGATTTTACAGAATCTTACACAATCATTATACGTTTAGTAATACTTAATCATAATCTTTTATATTATCTGCTGTTTACTGCTTAGATTATTTCAGTTTTGCCACAGGCGACAAAATTGTTAACCTGAATTGATAGACTTTCAAAAAAGCTTAGGAATTGTATGGCTGTCAGATTAATATCATATACTTTAGAATTGAGAACTATTATGGAATATTTCAAATTTGATTTAGCACTAATAAGCAAAAGGTTTCTCCAAAGAAAAGAGTAAATTGAAAAGCAGGGAACAATCCAATTCTGTTAGCAAGTCAATAAAATAAACCTGAATATGGCTTTGAGAACTTTCAACAGTCTTTTCAGAGTTATCTTCAACTTCCCGCGGTAATGCTTCTCCACTAAGTTGTCCAGTAACATAGACAAGGTCATTCTCCTTCAAGTGACAAGCAGCAATGTGGGCCAGATCACCTCGAAAAATTACTGGAATGCTGGCACATTACCAATTATAATCCCAGAAAGGTTAGAGTGGGTAAAAAATTACATCCTGAGATATTTAAGAGAGAAATACCGATTAATTGTAAGGAGATTATAAATAACAAGTGAAAGAAGAAATGAGTTTTTTACTAGAAGAGTTCAAATAAACTGGCCTTAAAACTTGCTTGACATGTGAAGCAAATTAAACTAGACGAATGAATTTAATTGCAGGGGAAAATATAGATAACACAAATACAATTCTTTTCCTCTCACACAGAAAAGAAATCAAATCAACAAAGAAAGAAACTTGCTTCCACATATAGGTGAAGCCTCCATAACCATTTAAGTGGGATTGAATGAAAGGTTACTGATAGTTGTGTGCCCTTCTAGTAATATTTTCCACAATGTAACCCAACATTTTGGACTCAATACTAGTAAATCCCATAGCTACGAGCCAACTAATTCAACATTAGCGTGTGCTATTGCAAAATTAGATTTTTTTTTTAATATGATTCACAAAATTCCCAATAACAAGCAAGTGATTATTATGACTAACTAAATAACTTCCCAATTTCAAGTAACATTTTCCTCAATTACTCACAACAATTAGAAACCAATTATTATGAATAACAGACAATCTCAATGTACCAATCGACGATAATAGAAGCAATTGAGATTAAATTGGATATACCATAACTGAGGTGTACCCTTCTTCGTGCTCTCCTGAACGAGGACCGAGACGGCAAAGGCACCACTGGGTAAGGTCTGGAGCTGGACTGGCACGGCAAGGGACCCCACAAGGTGCACGGAATTGGCGACTTTGGTCTGAAACGGGATCTCGCTAGGTCGAGGAAAATCGGAGGTTGAGGACTTAGGGTTTCTTTTAATGGCGCGTTTGATTGGTGATTTGGTTAGGGTTTCGGCAGAGAAAGAGGAAGATCGAAGGAGTGGACATTTCTGGGGATTTGAGGAGGAAAGAAGTCTTGAGAGGGATCGAGAGAGACTCATGGAGAAGACGCTAAAACCCTAAACCCTAATTATTATTCACTTATTCGGCGGGAGTAGGGATGCTAGAACTACACTCAAAGGAAGGGCATGTTCTCGGCTACTACTTAGTTTATATGATTCCTTTAATTTATTATTGGGAAAATTACATCTAGCCCCCAAAATAACTTGATCCATTCTCCCACCCAAGTCTTTTTCAAAGCCGCAAAACCCTCATCCCCAAAATGCAATTGTCTTTACCCGCAAACCAGTTTCCAAGTGGCCCGGTTTTAAAAAAAAATTCCAAAATGCCCTTTGATTTAACCGCCTCCCACTATTCAAAACACCTCTCCTCGTCGAACGTGTCATCTTCTCTCATCTGTCCAAGCGAACCGAGTATCCCCAAAATCCTAACCATAACCCTAATTCAACCCACCCCAGAGCAAAAATCCAAGATCTTATCTTGTAATCTTGTCAACCTACACCTTAATCTTCATCATGGCCGACAAACCAGCTCCCAAAAAAGTCGCTCGTGCAGCCCCTGCATATTTCATCAGTGACGACGACGCGTCACAGTACGTCGTCATAAGAAGACCTAGCACAGAATTGAATGAAGCTGGAACATCAATTGCATATGTTCTAGAGGACATCGCAGCTAGTCATCTTCTTCTCACAAGTCCAGTTCAACCCACGAACCTAGTCCAATGCACAAATCTCGAGGGCAGCACTGACGACGTCTTGAGAGCGCTCCTGGACCTAAAGAGAGAAACGAATAGGAGCGATGTGGAAGATAGGTAGTTGATGGCCAAAAAGAGGTGAATTTACTGTATAATTGTGAAGGTTATAGTTAAGTTGTGAAGATTAGCTTTTAGTTGTCAAGGACATTCATTAGTTGTTAAGGTTCTGTGTTAGTTGTTAAGATTATGAATCTGTTGTGAATGTTATTGTTAACTTACCTTGTTAGTTGTGAAGGTTACTGTTAACATGTAACATGTTAGCTATTAAGATTATTGTTAACGTGTGGCCTGTTAGTTGTTAAGGTCATTGTTAACTTATGGTCTGTTAGTTGTTAAGCTTAAACGTTAGTTGTTAAGGTTACGAATCTGCTGTGAAGGTTACTGTTGATATTTGGCTGTTAGTTGTTAAGGTTATTGTTGACATTTGGCTGTTAGTTATTAAGGTTACTGTTGACGTGTGGTTGTTAGTTGTTAGGGTTATACTTTTATTGTTAAGGTTATGGATTGGTTGTTGATGTTATTGAATGGTTGTTAAGCTTATGAATTTGTTGTTAAAGTTACAGTTACTTTTTGATGTTTACAGCATAATTGTTTAGGTTACAGAATATTTTTAAACTAATTATGTCTTGTTGTTTTGCTTTGTAGATGAAAGGTTGCATCAGAGTTGCGGGCTATATTAAGCTTTACTGCTTATTATGAGTTCATGCATTCTTTAGTGTAATATATGGGCCAAAGGCATTAGGATGCCTGCGAATATAGTGTATTCAGGCACGTTGTTCATTTTGGCTCTCTTGGTCTTGATATTCCCACATTCGAGCATGTGTTGAGACAGTGAGACGAGCATAAGAAGAAATGTCTTCACTGATCCAAAAACTGGAGATGACATATAGTGATTATTCAACATTGATTGGGTTATGAGCCATACCTGTTCTCTAATGATGAGGATTTTGTTGGCCCCAACCAAGATCGAAGAAATCAAATTTCGTTATGGTTGTTTTTTAAAACTGAGGGCAACAACAGTAAGTCTCCTCCAACACCGACCAGACACGATGTTGAGAATCTACTCATGAGTCTTGTACGATCAAATGACCGTGAAGATGTAAAGGACTTTGTCCCACTATAGATCCTGTATCAACTGAGCATGATATAGTATCCAAGTAGTGTTATTGGCATACCAAGGCATTTGTTCAAGCATGTTGACAGCATCAAAAAACCAAAGAACAATACTTGGGGAGCTATATTTTTAGTGAGACAAATGATGCAATTAAAAAGATATTGAAGGGTCCTGCTGCTGTTGGAAAGAAGATGATATATCTACAAGGGTGTATCCAACTTGTGTCTGTAAGTATTCATATTTTTTATTATTTTGAGCAATGACTATAATGTATGCATTCTTGATTGTGAAGGACATAGGTTTGTTCTTAAGTATAATTATTAGTTGTTAGAGTTAGCAATTATCTGTTATGTATACAAATTTGTTGCTAAGGTTGCATATTAGTTGTTAAGGTTATAGGATGGTTGTTAAGATTACAGATAGTCGGGTTATTAACTTTACTGATTTGTTGTTAATGTTATAAATTTATTGTTAAGGTTACATAATAATTGATAAGGTTACATGTTAGTTGTTAAGGTTACAGATTGGTTGTTGATGTTGTTTGTTTATGAAAAATTTGCAGTAAAAGAAACGAAGGAAAATTGATTTGTATTCCTTTAATCTCGATTACAATTGGATTTCTTGATTACAAAAGAGAAGAGAATGATCTGGATTCTCCCCTTTGTTTAATTCTGGGTTCTTCACGGTGGCGATGAGATGCCTCCCTCGAATGCTCGCGTCGAGTTTGCTTCTCGTTGACGATCTGACGTCTTGTTTCACTGGAACAGGATCTTCTCCTCACGATTTGACGTTATGGAGAACTCTGAACGAGTTTGAAACTCTATGAAAGAGTTGATTTAACCGAAATCGATCTATAAGCCAAGGATGAAGAAAGCTCCTGTTGCCGAATGTTGCTGAGGGATGACGTCAATCTCCTCAAAAGCCTACCCAAGGATCTCTTCTGTTGCTGCCAAGAAGTTTCAACAGACCAAACCCCTGAACTGAATTGATTTTTAGTTATTTATAAGGGATTAAGAGGTGTAACCGCCCCCTTAATTCACTCATAAGTGGGGCTAATGAGATATAACCGCCCCTTAAATCACTCCTGAATGGAGTTGTGATCCCCTCAGATCGTAGGAAACTGTTTTGAAACTGTTCAGCTCGTGTTTGAACAAGTCAAACGCAAAATCTGCGTTCTGGCATAAATTCTGCGTTCAAACGCAGTGTTTGGAAGCTCAGACGTAGCAATTTGGAAGCTGTGTTGGCATCTTGTTGAAAGCTGCGTTTGGCAGCTTGGAAGCTGCGTTTGGCAGCGGATGAAAGCTGCGTTGACAGCTTTCGGAGACTGCGTTTGTGGCCGAACATGAGCTGCGTTGGCAGCTGGATCTGAGCTGCGTTTGCAGCGTTTAGAGCTGAATGTGAGCTGCGTTTGACAGCAGATGGAAGCTACGTTGGCAGCTTTTGAAGGCTGCGTCTGAGCTGCATTCGTGGCTATGAACGCGGTGCATCTTGATGCTGGTACGCGGGGAGGACTTCCATGTCTTGGTTTGAAGAGACCGTCGATTTGTAGTCTCTTTCTGTCAGAGCGTTGCAAAGATCGTCATTTTGTAATCTTTGCTTTAGCTCTTTGATATGTGAGAGTCGTCAGATTATAACTCTCGATGTTGATTGTGAAGGCTGTTGATTAGAGCTTTCATCAGTTGTTGTGAAGGTCATCAGATTGTAACCTTCACCAGTCTACGTGAAAGTCTTCAAATTGTAACATTCTGGAAGTCGTCAGAGTGTAACTTCCATCATTGGTGTTTTGATAGGGATCAGCTATCTATTGTGATTTTTTGACAGCCTACAGAACCCCCTCCAAAGTTTTCAAAAGTTCACGGTTGACTGGGACGAATTTTCGGAATACTTTGGATCTCAACTCTGATCTTGGAGGCATCTTGTGGTAAAGGATTTGTTCTCTGCACTTGCTTCGAAGGCATCTTGGTTGAAGGGATTTGCCACGTAGGACCTGTGTGAAGGTATGCGTCATAATCCTGCTTCTGGAATGTGAGGGTGGACCCTACATTTTGAACTTGAGAGGCGGGTCTCACCCTTGCATGTTGAATTTGGAACACGGGTGTGACCTCGGCGTTTGGTTTTTGCATCACGGGTCTGACCTCAACGTCTTGACTTAAGACATGGAAGTGGCTTCCGTGCATTTTTAACTAAGTCTTTGAGACTTGTCTTTGGCTCATCTGTTTTAAGTCTCGGCTCACATCCATTAAGTTGATGGGCCTGCAAACGTGCATAGGATTTTTGGCAAACCCTCAGCCATCAACGGATTTGATAAGCATTTATCGACTACCGTTTGAGTCGGGTTAGCATGTGGATTGTCTAAGTCCGTTCCACATGTAACGTTGTGCTAAGAGAATGAACCCTCTTAGACTTGATGCTATGATTTTGAATACATAAACTTTATCATTTTTACGGGAAAAGACTAACCGGCAACGCGTGTTAGGCGTAGGCTTATCTCTAATTAGGGATCGAGATTGTAGGCGTATAAAACTACTTATAGGTCTCTTAACACAGCTCGGCACGGTGATTCGACAAACCAACCATCGGGCGATATATCCAAGCAAGATCATTAGACCATAACACCAAAGCGGATTTACTGCCAAATCAGGATCCGTATTGTCAAATCAGAGTCCAGATCAATAATGAAGTTCGAATAAATCGCGAAACCGAAAAACGGGCAAAAAACCAAACACCTGGAGGGCTCGGCTAAAACCGAGCCACCAAACCTTGGCCGAGCCACTTAGGTGGCCGAGCCACTTAGGTGGCCGAGCCACCCAGATTTGGGCCCAGATCTGAGCCCAGATCTGGTTTGAGATGCCTATAAATAGAGAAGGAGGGCTCATTTTTGAGAGGTTGGACTTTTGATTGAACTTTGGAGGTGAAACTCTGCCGGATCAAGAGCTAAACCTCGGAGTTTTGGAGCTTTGAAGACTCGGACTTTTCAGATCTGGTGGTTCTTGGCGATCATCCATGCTAAATAAGATAGGAGTTCGAGAGAGATCAGATCTGAGATCTACACGGTCATCCTCCGGATCAAAACTTGGTTTTTGATCCCTAGAAGAGTATTGATTTCGCTTGGTCGATTTCGATTACTTAGGACTATTATTTTCTTGGTGAAATAATCCCCCCGGCTGTTATTTCCTTCGTGAAATAACACCCGTCATACCGTGTAGATCCGCCGGCTGTTATTTCCTTCGTGAAATAACACCCGTCATACCGTGTAGATC